CTTATCTCCAATTTGCCTCCTATGGGTTGGTTTTTTGTTGGAGCAGAAAGCTGTCACTTAAGATGCATGGTTTGATATTTGGGGCTGAAAGCCAACCTCTGCGTTGTACAAAGGTTGAGATCACTTGTCCCCATCTAGTCCAGACAGCTGTCTTGTCTGTAGCATTGGCCAGTAGGGATAGCAGGGAATTTTTTCAGGTAACCTACCCAGTTTGCAATTCCCAAATAAAATACAGTAAGCCCACAACTTATGCACATTTAATGTGTGCACATTCAACTTTATGCTCTTGGCAAAAAGTAAAAAAGTAAAAGGGCGTGGAAAGGGGGTGGCGTCGGGGGGGGGAGACTTTGGCAATCCCACTCACCATTGAACCCAATGTGTTTTGGATTTAGGCATGATCCCCAGAACGTAACCCCCACGTAAGTGGTGGGCTTACTGTACACAGCAAAACACACCTATCCTTCAAAATTTCTACTTCTCTAATTTTTTGCAGTGCAGTTGTCCAACCCAACATGCATCCCCCCCGAAAAAGGCATATGTTAAGGAAAAGTGCGCACAAAAAATGCTTATTTTAGTGAAAATAATGTCCCAAAATTGGGGGGAAGCTGATTGGAAACAAAATGTATATTTTAGGCAAAATTGCAGAGTAATGCTAGGTGAAATACATGGGAAAATGCACATGAATTTTCATACAGTATTTAAAAGAAGATTGCAAACTAAGGTGGAAACGGGGAGAACCAAACTGAAGATTAGGGGGCGGGGGGAGAGTGAAATGAAATGAAATGAAAACCAATTTATCTGTGCCTTTGAAAAGGTTAAAAGCAACCAGCCATGACTGAAAACTGTACTGGAACCCCTTTCCCTCCCAGTTTGTTTGTTTGTTTGTTTGTTTGTTTGTTTGTTTTGTTTTTTGAAAGGTGCATTTAGTTCCTTCAAAGAGAGGAGCTGTACAGCAGGACCAGGTGGAGGAGGCAGTGATGATCGTTTGCCTCTCAAGTTGTGTTTTCTTTCTCACACACGAGGTAGTGTCCTCTAATAACATCTGTGAGAGGAAAGGGGTCCCAGTCCCAGCAGTGGCGAACACACTGGATTGCTTTCCCAAGGCATCAATGGCTACTAGTCGGGTTAACCTCAGCTTAAGAACTTAACCTCGGGTTAAGAACTTAATTCGTTCTGGAGGTCCGTTCTTAATCTGAAACTGTTCTTAACCTGAGGTACCACTTTAGCTAATGGGACCTCCTGCTGCCGCCATGCCGCTGGAGCACGATTTCTGTTCTCATCCTGAAGCAAAGTTCTTAACCTGAGGTACTATTTCTGGGTTAGCAGAGTCTGTAACCTGAAGCGTCTGTAACCTGAAGCATCTGTAACCCGAGGTGCCACTGTATACTACCTCTAAATACCCGTTTCTGGGCATCACAAGCAAGAGAGAGCCCTTGTCCTAATGCCCTGTATGTGGGCTTCTCATAGCCATCTGCTTGACCGCTGTGAGAACAGAATGCTGGGCTAGATGGACCTTGGCTTGATCTGTAGGAACGTAGGAAACTGCTTATATGTAGTGAGACCATTGGCCCATCTAGCTCTGTCTACACCGACTGGCAGCAGCTTTCCAGTGCTTCAAGTAATGGACATTCCCTGCCTTACCAGGAGATGCTGGGGATAGGACCTGGGGCCTTCTGAGTGCACAACCTATCTTGCAACAATAAGCTACAGTTGGACCTTGGTTGTCAAATGCCTTGGTACTTGGACGTTTTGTCTCCCGAACGCCGCAAACCTGGAAGTGAGTGTTCCGGTTTGCGAATGTTTTTTGGAAGCCAAACGTCCAACACGGCTTCCAATTGAGTGCAGGAAGCTCCTGCAGCCAATCAGAAGCCACACCTTGGTTTTCAAACAGTTCCAGAAGTCAAACGGACTCCTGGAATAGATCATTTTGACAACCAAGGTACCACCGTATTGCCCTTCTTCCACTGAGCTATAGCCTTTTCCAGCAGGGCTGCTTTACTTTCCTATGCCATTACTTGGCATTTTTTCCTGCCTGCTGTCCTGTACCTTTTGACAGCAGTGTATTAGGCAGAAGCCCAGCAGGTGAAACAGTTCCATGCTGGGATAAGCTCCCTAACCCTAACCCTGCCATGCAGCTGTTAAAACAAACCTTCCTACCTACATAAGACCTACGGCTACAAGGCAGATCAATGTGGCATCTATCATTGTTCTTAATTCAGAAAATAAAACTTGCCCTTTTAGCAGTACTTGCAGACTACAAGTAAATCAGACACTAAGTTGAACATTTAATTAAGGCTGCAATCCATAACTTTTTATTAGATGATAAAACTTACTGAAATCCACAGTGTCTGAATTCTGAGGGAATATTAATGCACAATACAGTGGTACCTCGGGTTACATACGCTTCAGGTTACATACGCTTCAGGTTACAGACTCCACTAACCTAGAAATAGTACCTCGGGTTAAGAACTTTGCTTCAGGATGAGAACAGAAATCGTGCTCCGGCGGCGCAGCAGCAGCGGGAGGCCCCATTAGCTAAAGTGGTACTTCAGGTGAAGAACAGTTTCAGGTTAAGAACGGACCTCCAGAACGAATTAAGTACTTAACCCAAGGTACCACTGTATAATCATGTTTCTGTTTGGGAGGGTTTGTGATAAGAGGTAGAACCAGGCTTTGCTTGTCTTACCCAAAATAATTTTTATTTTTCTGCCACTGTTAATTATTGGCAGCCTTTTAAATAATCCTTTCAAAAATAAATAAATAAGATAATTCTTTCACAACCTGGTTCAGGCATTTCCTCTTGGGAGTTAATCAGATGTTTTGTTTCTCTTGGAGCTTCAAAAATAAGACAATCCTTCTTTGGAAAGTATATGAAGATTCTTGCAAATGCCATGTTTTCACCATGCCTGAACAGGACTTCTATTTGCATCCTTCTGTGTTATCACAGTAAAGGTTGTATTTGCTTTTCAAGCAAGGTCATTAGTCAGCTGACCAACTCTTTAGCAGCTGGAGTGACTACATGTTTTGCCAGTGTAACTCTGGACTTTTCAGGAGTGTTTGGAGCGCTTCCTAGAAAGAGAAGGCTTGTCTGGGTTTCTTTTCTTCCTTTTGATTTGGCAGCTGGGAGGATATGAAGGTAACCTGGCCAAATACTTCTGTTAACTGCCAGTTTGAACTCCAATAATGAAATGCCGAGTTAAATTGCTGCAATGCAGTTGCAAATGATAGGCAGTATCAGAAAGCTGTTGCAGTAGCTCTTAATGAGAATGCATTAACTTGTCATCCCACTGGGGAGAAATGATCTTGGTTTCAAAATACTGTTTTTAAATGCTTCTAAATGATCAAAGGGTCCTTCCTTGCAGTGAATGCCACAGGCATTGATCTTAGTGACTCTATGCATTGTCAGTTCGGAAGTGGCAAACCATTGCTGCCAGCTCAGTGGAACTTAATCCTACATGTGTATAGGTGAGAGTTAGTAACAATGAATAATACGGTGCTTACTTCTGAGTAAACATGCACAGGATTCTACTGTAGTTTGACATGATGTTGAATGTTTTAGATTTTTAGATTCAGTTTACTTGTTCTTCAGTTGACGCAAATATAAAGCAAACTACAGCTGTCTCTATAAACCATGTTCTTGTGAATGAGAAGCGAAGGCTTCGCATGATGTTGATGTTGACAATTTCCACATCTAATTGATAGACATATTCTGCATCTTTGTTATATCATTTTCTGTATATATACTTATTTTATAGAACATATTTTCAAGTGGATACGTCCACTAAAATTAAAGATGTCACTTGTGCTTACACAGTGATTGTCTAGAGTTTAAACTGAAGGTTTCCTGGTACTGTTCTACTGACACACTGTTCAGATAATCCTGCACAGAAACTTATTTCTACTGATGTATATGATTTATGGAACCTAGCAGTACTGCTGAAAACATGGCTACTAAGCAGAGACAACACTACAGAAGCTTCTCTAAATCTTTTGAATAATCATTGACAAGGATGGGGGCTTGTTTTATGGCAAAAGTCAGGTAGCCACAGTCTGTTGTATTGACATGGGTATGTGTGCTTTGTTAGCAGAAAAACAATAATGTAAGCAGTCTAAGGACTGATTCATATGTTGTTGTCGTTTGCTTGCTTATTTCCCCCAAACCTGGCAGCCTTCTCCAACCTTCAGATCTTCTGGACTACAGTTCCCATCAGTGCCAGCCAGCACGACTGATGGGAATTGTAATCCAAAACACTGGGCAGCCATCAAGTTAGCAAAGGCTGAATTATGATTTACTGTGATGTGTGAAATACATATCCATGGATGTTCATCTATAAATGGGAATTGGAAATATCTGTCAGTTTGCTGCCCTTTAGAGGTGTCTATAATCAGCTGCTTGAGGCAGAACCCTAGGGAAGGACCCTGGCAATATCTTGTCATGTCTATAATTAGTTTCTCTTCCGGGCCCCCCACCTTGCTTTTTAAACTAGGAAAGCTGTAGTACACAGCACATTAATTATAGGCCATGTCCCAGAGTAATCAATGCTTCCAACAGTAATAAGATGAATGATTACTTATCACCTCAACTTCTACTCAACATGCATCTCCTCAGCGTTTCTTCCTCTCCTCCATCTTCCCCTCCCTTTACCTCCCCAATTTCTTTCTGAATTTCCTTTGGTCTTGTGTGTTGTTGCTTAGCAGTGAAAAATGATCTGATAGCGATACGCCCGTGTCTTCAGAGCAGGAACTGTTACAGTTAGAAGAGAAAACATTGATTTAAAAGATGCCTGGAAGTGCTTACTGGATAAGGACTCAAAGGATAATAATTTCACTCCATGCAGACGGAAACTGTCTTAATAGCTCTGTGTTTAAAAATAGATTATTCTGGTGAAGTGAGCGGTTTGTACATAAAGAAGTAATCGAAAGGAAGTGTGATGCTTAGGTCTTGAAATAACTATAATTGTATTGTTTAACAGTTTCTACCCCCTCCTCTTTTTTTAAAGGTGGACTACATGTCTTCAGATGATGTTTCACTAATGGCTTGACATCTGTGGTCTGGACAGCAGTCGTCATTATGGAGAATACAGATGGTATGGATACAGAATTTAACTTAAAGGCAGAAACTTTATACTGTTCATTTTTCATTTAATTGCTAAACGATTAAAGAACTCATGCTTTTTGAATTAGACTTTAAAAAATGTTCAGGCCCCAGTTTTGAATACTCACCCAATCTTTGTTCAAAATCTGTAAGTGCAAAGGGAAAACAGAGTTCTTGCAGGAGGGGTCTGCTTCTGGACATTATGCCTGCAGAGAGAAGCTGATGGCCTTTCCCCCTAAAGGTAAAGGACCCCTGGATGGTTTAAAGTCCAGTCAAAGGCGACTATGGGGTGCGGTGTTCATCTCGCTTTTCAGGCCGAGGGAGTCGGTGTTTGTCCACAGACAGTTTTCCAGGTCATGTGGCCAGCATGACTAAATCGCTACTGGCACACGGAGGACCATGACGAGTGCCAGAGCGCACAGAAATGCCGTTTACCTTCCTGCAGTAGCAGTACCTATTTATCTACTTGCACTGGTATGCTTTTGAACTGCTAGGCTGGCAGAAGCTGGGACAGAGCAACGGGAGCTCACCCCGTCATGCGGATTCAAACTACTGACCTTCCGATCGGCAAGCCCAAGAGGCTCAGTAGTTTAGACCACAGCACCACTCCTTAAAAATAAGAGGAAGCAAGAGGAGTATTTCAGTACTTTGGGGCTGAGGGATAACTTCCTCCGTTGGAGAGAGTCCTTTGCTCAGTGGGAGAGTGCATGTTTTGTAAGCATAAGTTCCCAACTGCAATCCCAGACATTTCTGCTTATGAAGACTGAGGTAGCAGGGCTGAGAAAGACCTCTACCACAGATATCGGAGAGCTGTTGCACTTCAGAACCGGCCTACATGGTCCTGTACTCTTAAGGCCAAAATACATGCCATGTTATTCAAATCATTTGGTGCCAAGGGTCAACTTTCCTTGAACTGTGTACAGCAATTTAGGGAGTCCCAATTCAGACCCAGACCCTGGTGGGGTCAAAGGATAAAAAGCCTTCCTTACACACCACAGTGCTGACTGTCATTGCTGACTATCATGGAAGGCCAAACAATGTCAATAATGACACATCTTGTTTGCCCCTGAATCAGTATATGGTTGCCTGAGACAATATGTATTCGGGCCACTCCTCACTTTTTGCTCATGGGTCTTATACATACCTAAGCATGAAAAGTAAACTGAGCCATGAGGTCTGTTGAGCAGGAGTTGCGCTTTGAGCTCCACTCAAGAAGATAGCTGCTTTTCCTGATTCCCTTCTGTCTGGTTTTGTTTAAATGCACCAGGCTCTTAGCCTGGGAACTTGTTTGCACACAGAGGCTTTTTTTATATATATTTAAGGGAGATCAAGGCTGACTCCCAGGAACCAATCTGTTCAGTTTGCTCTTTTTCCGGATCAACCTTGTATGCATGTCTTAAAGCATTTGACATGGTTTGATAGCCAGTGCTGAATATATTAGTGATGCTGAGTGTAATGGTAAAAGTTTATTATACATTAGGATCATGCAGACTTTAAAGCAAATATGTTGTGTGGATTGCAAAAGCTGTCATTTACATAATTACCAAGTAGAGTGATTATTTAGCAAATTCTTGATGACTTTCGGTGGTACAATTACATGATTCAGCCCTTGAAAACAAGATTATACATTTGCCCATGCCTCTTCGGGACTATATATCTAAGCTGACTGTACAGAGATGTCTCAGATGACAAATTGCAAGCCATGTTTCCCCCTCTCTTTTTGCCTTTTGGATAGAGGCTAACTGCACAGTGATTTAGTGAAACTGCCTTGCAGTTGTGCCTGGAGTTACAGCCAGCATTTCAATAAAAAAAGGGGGGGGAGTATGCATGCTGATATAGGCTGATTTTCAGCAATACTGCAGTGGCTCTATGCTGTTGCAGCCTTAGAGACAGCTGGGAGAGGGTTTGGGGAAGTCCATAGGGACCTCGCCATAGAATATTGGGCCCTCCTTATCTGGCATTCATCTGTTTCGTTCATATCCTTTATTCACAACTCCTATCATCCTAATGATAGAGGGTTATGCTGATGAAACACAGCGAATGGGAAACTATGCATTTCCATATAGTCACCGTGATGTGCTCTGGAAGAGATGGGCACAGGGCTAAAAGAAGCCCTCTTCCCTCCTTTCCCGGCCTTCCCTTGGTATGTACATTATGCCATGTAGAACTGGATGCTTGTGAGTGGAGCTCCTTGGGCACCAGGTCAGAAAGTGGCTGAGTCTGTAGGACTCTGTGTTATGACCAGATGGCCAGCCAGAAAAGGAGGAACACAGGAAGCTGTATTATACTGAGTCAGACCATTATTCCATCTAGCTACTCTGTTTGGTCTACTCTGACTGGCAGAGGCCTGCCAGAGTGCCATGCAGGGACTTTTCCCAGTCCAACCTGGTGCTGTGCCACTGAGCTACAGTCTTCTAATGAGACCGTGCTGATTCCTTTTTTCAAGCACATGGCTGTGTCACTGCAGGACGCACCATGCCCTCGTAGTTTCTAGTTAAGTTAGAGTGACCTTAGCAGATTGTCTTTTTCCATCACCAGAATTAAGTGGCTAAAGACTGCTGTCAGGGGCGTTAGGTAGGAACTTGAGTTATAAGTGGTTTCTGACATCAGGCTTTCTTGATACTATAGTTGTTTGTAGATTATCACACTGTTTTAATGTTTAAATTTTATGTCAGCAGATGAATGGGCGTCCAAACCAGAGGATAAAGATCCACCCCAAAGCCCCTATTCTCTTGAAACACCCTATGGCTTCCACTTAGATCTTGACTTCCTGAAGTACGTAGATGACATCGAGAAAGGAAATACTATCAAGAGGATCCCTATTCACAGGAAGGCAAAGCACCCAAAATTCAGCACGCTGCCTCGCAATTTCAGCCTTCCAGAAAATGGATCAAGGGCCTACTCCTCATCCCCAAACAAGAGCTTCCTTACACAGAGGAAGGCCTCCTTAGGGGCAGAGGAAAGCAGCCCTGTTGTCACATCGACTGACTCATTGCCCTTAGCCACCCATTCAAATGAGCCAAGCTACAGAAAAAAGGCCCTTTTAATAGAGACTATCAAGCAAGATGCTGCGCACCTTGAAGAGGAGACTGGCAACTGTAGAGGGAGGCCTCAGCTTTTGAGGGCATCCAGTATGCCTGCCACGCTGCCACCAAGCCAGGATTCAGAAGTAGAAACGCAGCCAGAAGCTTTTCCACCGTTGACATTCCTTCCGTCTTCTGATGGGAAAGGCTTGGAATTTGATTTTAGTCCCGTAAAGGGAACACTGGATTCAGATTGGTCCAAGGGATCTCCTGAAAATCTGAAAAATGTAAAGGAGCAAATCAGTCAGGCCGTCCAGGATACTGAGAAGCTTACGAGGCAACAGAAAGAAGCTAAGCTTGTGCTAGACCAGGGACAACCAGAGCTTACAAAGGAGAGAATACAACCCAGTGCTTCATGGCAAAGTCATTTAGTATCTCAGGAACTGCTTGCAGTTGCTGAGAGCGGAGAAGAGGAATGTGATGCAACTGAGACAGATGTTTGTCGGCCATCCATCCAAAGTGAATTGACCACTTTCGGAGCCTTGGAATACAACCCTGAGAGCCAGACCCAGGAAGACATAGAGCTCACCATAACTGAGACAGTTACAGCAGGACTACCGGAGGGGGATGAAGTTACAAGTCCTGGCACTGGAGAGATGAAAGAAAACGTAAACCTCAAGCCTTTGCTCTCTGAAGAACCTAGCAAGATAACGGCCTTAAAGCAGCATATTGCTATTCTGGAGGAACAGCTGAACAACAAGACAGAAGAACTTGAGCAGATTCGAGTAGTCTTGAAGCAGCAGGATAAGGAAATCAAGGCGAAGGAGCGAAGCATTGAAATGCTGGCAAGTTCCAAAGCTCAACTGGAAGAGAAACTCTGTGGGGAGAGTACCAAAGAAATTGCACCGGGCAAGCAGGACAAAATTGCCCTCCAGTACCATGATGCTGCTGTGAATACCGAACGGGCAGCTAAGGAGGCATCTGACAAAGGGGTTAATGTAAGCATCACTGTGCCTATGGAATCAATAGGGTGTGATGCCTGTGAAATTGATAATAAGAATCTGCAGATAAAGGAAGGGCATAGGAAGCTGTTCCATGTCCACCATGAGATGACAAGTGTTGATGTTGGAGAAAAAGACCGTCCATCTTTCCAGAGGCAGAAAGAAATGAAACAGGAAGATGATAGTTCCCCTCTCGAGCTAAGTTACAATGAACTGAAGATTGATGAACACGTTGATAATGACAACTACCAGAAGGGAGTGTGCAACTATGACACACAGTTCTCTGCTGCTGGTGAAGAAAGCTGCTCAGGTGTTGAGGTGGTTGGCTCAAAGGCAGGAGGAAATGAAGGCCTTTTTGAAGAAGATTTTAAGCAGGAGCTGAATGAGGAGGAAACCCAACCAGAACCAAAGAATTCGCCTGCAGATCCCATCGTAGGCCAGTACGTTAAAAAAATCCAGGATCTGTTGCAAGAGCAGTGGACATGCCTAGAACATGGGTACCCAGAACTTGCCAGTGCCATTAAGCAGCCCGCCTCGAAGCTCAGCTCCATCCAGAACCAGCTTGTTAATTCCTTGAACTTGCTGCTCTCTGCCTACTCAACACAAACGCCGACAGACAAGGAGAATTCCAACACACAGTATCAACAGTTGGGTAAATAATATTGGCAAAGCCAGTCTTTCCTTTCCACTTACATTGCAGCTAGTCAGGAATATCACCTGAGATATTTTGAATGAAATAAACATATTTGCTGCTTCAAAATAATAATAAAAATGTTCATTTTACCAAAACAAACAAGAGAAACTAAAAGAAATATTCTTGTGACATTTCCATGTTGTTGAAAAGCACTATTTTAATGTAAACAGGACTTAATGTGGCAGTTAAGGAAATATGAAAGTTTAGAAACCAAATTCTTTATGTCTTAAAAAATATCATCCAACATCACTTAAATGCATGGCATCTATTAATACAACCAATTTCATAGTGATAGTAAGAGATACTGGGTATGGACAGGCATGGATGACATCCTCTCAACTGATGAACAGGGATGGCTGGAATAGGTTTGTGAAAAGCACTCCTACAATCTAGTTCCATGTTGCTCATAAGAAGGTGCATAGGGCTTCTATGAATAGAGTCAACCAGTTTTTTCAGCCCAAACCCAGAACAGCAAATATTCACTTTGCTGTATCAACATAGTTCCCTTCTTTTTCATTTCTCTGCCACTCACACCACTTACTGAGGGTGGGAAAAACCATGGATGAACCTCTTTGTAGAATTTATCAGCCATTTATATGATATCTGCTGTGGTGGAGGAAAAAGTTGCCATTGCTGTGGCACAGCTGCAACTGGTCAGCTCTGTCATAAGGTAAGTGCCATTAATGTCACCTCTCCTCTTTCAACAACCTCAGTTCCTCATTCTGTAAAGATGTCTATTCCCACATTAGTTATAGGGAACTCTTGGACACAACTATTTTGAGCCATTTCACAATTTGTAGAACTGCTAACACACTTTTCAAAGCTAAGAAGGGTCCAGTATGGTTTCATATTGAATGGGAAACCCATGTGTTGAGAATCCTGCATTGCAGGGAGTTGGACCAGATAACCCTTGATATCTCTTCCAGCTCTATGATTCTATCCTGTGATCAGCAGAGTAGCACAAAGTATGCCCACCAGAATGTTTTGGGATCCATTCAGTTTCTAGGGCCAAATCAACCTAACAGACTAATCCAAGCTATCAATCTTTTGAAACGACCCATTACAGTTGTGCCTTCTTCAAATTCTCAGAACTTGTTTCCATTCAATTGGAAAACATTAAATCCACCCTCAATCCTCTCTTTTTATGTCATGGAAGCAATGGAGTCCTATGTTCACTGAATCCCAAGCGACCCAAGTTGATGACATTTAAGCTGAACCAGTTCAGCTAGCTCAGACTGGAAGTCTAGTTAGAGGGTGGAGTCGGAAGGTATGCCAACCATATACTGATATTGCAAAGTGTCTCAGGGTTGCCATTCCATATACTGTAGCCATAAACTGATGACAACAGTGATACCAATGCCTCATCTTGAGTCAAATCAATGATAGTTGGTGATTGACATATATAAGCTTTATATTTAAACAGCAGCAGTATCAACAGAGCAGGGTCATCATTGGCCTCCATTTTAAGTCCCTTGAGGCAACTGAGCCATCTGCTATTCTCCACACTGTCTTCATCTTCCCTTTGTCTTGTTTTCCTCTGAACACTACATTTCATAATGAGTTGAGCATCACGGACATATAACATGGGCCCAGGCAATGTTGGAAACCTAATGGGAATGTCCTCCGCAAACACCAACAAGGACCCCAAGGCGGTTGAGAAAAAGTCCTATCCACTTCTACAAATTCCTGTTGCCCTCTTGCACAGCGAAGGAGAACTGACATACCCGTATTCTTTTGCTCCATCCTTCACATTATTCTATCGTGTTCCCTTAACTCCATCTTCACACTCAACAAAATAGAAGCACCAACAAAATGGCTGTAGCTTGGGAAGAGGATGGGTCTTTGTAATGATGAATAAATAAATGTTATTGCAGTTATGCATGTGACATTGCTCAGTGTTGGGCCTTAAAGCTGGGTTGAGGGATCTGTGCCTGCAACTCCCATAATGCCTGACTATTGACCATGCTGATGGAAACTGGCATCTAACTACATCTAGGGACCCAAGATTGGGGGCGCCTTCTCTGGCTGCTGCATCATACCAACCACTGGTGTGTCCCCCCTTCCCCAACCAGGGTAGGCTAGGTAAGTCTATGAAGCTATCAAACAGAAGAATTACACAACAAGACAGGCCTCTTAAAAACAGCCACGTTGTGAACCGCTTTTGAGTTTTTGTTTTTACAATCAAAAAGTGTGTGTGTGTGTGTGTGTGGCCACTGGTGTAGGAGTTGAGAGGTGTTGGGATCAGCCTTTCAATAGATAGGGGGACTTATTTACCATGTTCAGTTTGTTAAAGGTATGTGATATAGTTAAGTAAGACAACTCTATTACAACATTTCTGATGTTCTGTGTTTTCAATATTTGTATTAGAAATTTCTCCAAGCACAAGCCTTAAATCTATAATGAAAAAGAAGGACACTGGTTTCCATGCAGGAGGTAACGGCACCAAAAAGAACCTTCAGTTTGTTGGGGTAAATGGTGGGTAAGCATCAATGGAAGAAGCAAAACTGCCTTGTCATTTATAATGCTACTTTTTAATGTATGCCAAAAGAAAAGATTGATGTATTAAACACATTCATTCCTTCTCCATTCTGATGTTGGCGAGATTGCTGCAAAAGGCTGGAGGAAGCATTAGGACGTATCGGGGTGAGCAAAGTTTTCCAGCAGGGGTCTGATCCACCGTCCCTCAGACCATGTGGGGGGGCCAGACTATATTTTGAAAAAACATATATGAACGAATTCCTATGCCCCACCAATAACCCAGAGATGCATTTTAAATAAAAGGACATGTTCTACTCATGTAAAAACACCAGGCAGGCCCCACCAATAACCCAGAGATGCATTTTAAACAAAAGGAAACATTTGACTCGTAAAAAAATGCTGATTCCCAGACCGTCCGCAGGCCGGATTGAGGTGATTGGGCCGCATCCAGCCCCCAGGCCTTAGTTTGACTACCCATGACATAGGTTGTTAGCAGAAGTATTGAAAAGTACTACGCTAATATAAACGAAAGCTGAAAATCACTGCAAACTTCACAAAAGGAATGGTAACCTTAGCACTGAGTAGGCTAGGAAACAGACATACAGTAAGCAGTGACACCAAAAGCCAGGAAATCATTGGAACTAGCTTGCAATTTGGAGTTCTCTCGATTTCTGTAGAAAGAACAAAATAATCTGAACTTAGATATTTTTTCACTCTCTTTTACAAATAGACTTAAAAAAAAAAATGCCAGTGAACCTTTTATTCAGAAGACTCAGCTTCCCATTACTAGAATGTTGTTTGCCACACAATCTTAAATAACCTACTGCCATGGTTGGCTGTGGTGTAAAGGCACTGTGCTAATTTAAGCTTCCATATACAGTCATACCTCGGGATAAATGTGCTTCAAATTAAGTATTATCGGGTTGCACTCCACGGCGACCCGGACATAACAAAGCACGTTACTTCTGGGTTTCGTCACGCGCATGCACAGATGGTCAAAATGACGTCACACATGCGCGGAAGCGGCAAAGCGCAACCCGCACACACATGGACGCAGGTTGCATTTGCTTCAGAATGCTAACGGGGCTCCAGAACGGATCCCGTTCGCATCCCGAGGTACCACTGTATCTAGGCAACCCCACAGCTCTTGGTTTCTGGTGCAAAAGGCAACTTGGTTTTAAAAAAGACTCATCAGCTTCACCCACCTTCCCTGTAAACCAGATCTTCTGCCATCTGCCTAGCGCATCTCTCCTCACCAGTTCCAAATCCAAGTGGACTGGCTGTTTGCTGTGTAGTAGTTGCTTGTAAACTCACAGAGCCATGACAGAAACCATGTAGGAAGCCGGACATTTGTAGCTGTAGATTAATGCTGCAATCGCTTGCAACTTTCTTGAAAGGTGGAATATTGGAATCAAAGGTAGCTCGTGGCCATGTGTTTAAATACATTAATTTATTTGCAAAAACTTCTGTACTACCTTTTTTTTTAAAGGTGAACAGCTCAATATCAATGATACAACATTCATAAAATAAATGCAAAATATATCACAAATCCTTAAAACAGATTATTAGCATGTCGACATGTTGCTATCAGTCCACATGCACATGGACATCTGTACCTGCCCAAACTTCACTACAAATATTACAATACTTGTTTGGTGTCTGTGCCCTGTATATTTCATAGTCTATCCTCCCCATCTCAGGTCAAAATCTTGAGAGTGAGGACTAACACCTTTTCTTCCCTAAGCATCTGATAAAGTAGTAGTTTTAAAGGGACAACCCTTAGAAGTGATTTAGCAAACAGTCACCATTGGCTTCTAAGTGCTTTGATATATACCGTAGGTGGTTACTTTATCATTTTACTTTGAAAATGCACTAATGCTAGTAAAATGTTTTAAGTTCTAGATAGGAGAAAATGTATTTGAATAAAATAAGAAAGCAATGTAATTCATCATTAAGGGGATGGCCCCCAATCTGTAGTACTAACAGAATACCTAGCTGAACCTTAGCAAACCCACTGGCTTGTTTTTTACATAATAGCCATGCAACAATCTCCAACACAACCTTTGGTCACTTATAACAGTTTCACCAGCCAGGTACAGATAGAGATGAGTGAATCTTTAATTTTGATTTCTTTCAGTTTCTCATTTTTCCAGCCTTAAGGGACAGTTCTCCACATTTCTGCATCAGTGTGCAATTAAAAACAATAGTAAACCAGCATTTTATTGTGTATTTCTCCCAATATACACATTTTGGTATACAATTTCCCCTAATATGAGGCATTTTTGGTGTGCTATTTTCAGTAATATAAGTATTTCCATGTGCTTTCCCAAATATATGCATTTTTGTACACATATAGTTGGAGAACTGAATAGCAAAATTCAAAGAAGCACAAACTGGGTGGATAGCTGCATTTTGATTTGTGTACTGTATTGTTTATAGAGGTGAAAATGACATATTTTTGCATTAAAATGTGAACAACACTACATCTATCCCTCATCCCTAGGTACAGTGGCTATCTGCTTCCAGTTCTGTCCAGGAGCTGTTGTGGCTGCTTTAACTGTTATTTCACAGCTGCTGGGCGATGTGGAAGCAGGACTTCAAATGTGTTGGAGCTTAGCAGAGAGTGAAAACGTTGGGGAGCTCTCAGTAGAGCTCAAGTTTGTGGATCATTCCCTGAATTAGGGACAATGCTTTCCAAAACAATGTAAAGTAGAATTCAGATATATGCTCCTAATTGTAATGGAAGCATTAAAATGTGTGTCATAGTTGGCGACATAAATCAGAAAGCTAAGAGTTTTTAAGACACCAATATTGCTTTGGTATTGGTTTTAAATATTAGTCTTGCAGTGAGAAAGATGTCAATGACATGTGCATAGTTGTCATGTAGAATTGTATGCCAGGTTCTTCCCTTGGCATCAGTGCCTATAATCCCCATTCTGGAGATTATGCAATGTCACATCACCTCAATCTCACATTTATGGCACAGATCCATAAAAGTATTATTATGAATGAGCCACGTCATGGTAGTTAGAAAGCAAGCAATAATATTGTTATTGAAACCACCACTCCTACAAGAGGCCAATTCCTTTTGAATTAGCAAAAACTTGCATGCTTCTGAGATTACTTATGTCCCAGTGAATAAAAATAAAAATCCCTGGCTTGCACAGCCTGGGATTTCAAATTTAAGAGGGTTTTGGGCCTAGGGCCCGCCAATTTTGCTTATAGCTCTCTGGTTCTCGGACAGAAGGAACGCTGAATAATGCCTGCTGTCCTCACCCAGTTACGAAACCACATCCAGTGAAGATTCCAGTTGTGAAGAAAGCTCCTCAGAAGGGAATTCAGATAGTGAGACTGAGAGAAAGTGTGGCAATGATGAGCATAGATGGGGTGAAGATGGCAATGAAAGTGAACAAAGAGCTTCTGGAACTGCCCATTACGCAAGGAAAGAAGACCCCGAAGAGCAAGAAGGAACCACACGACCAAGCACACAGCACAAGGCAGACAGGTAATGGTTCTTGTTATTTATTTAGAGCATTTGTACCCCATTTTTTAGCTTTAAAAGCAAAGCTCCCAGAGTGGCTTACATGGAATCAATTAACAGCCCCTGCCTGCAAGCTTAAAATCTAAATAAATAAAAAAATCACACACACAAACAGGGAGGGAAGAGGGAAAATCAAACTCAGGCCCCAATTCCTAATCAGTTGCTTTTGTAATAACCAGCTGGCACAGTTTAGGGGTAAGAGGTGCTTGATGCAGCTGGTGTTTCAGTAAAGCTGCTGGAACGTTATGTGAACATGTACAATTCCTGCAGACAATCAGTAGTAGTTTCTGTTCCATTCTGCTTTCAGCAGGTGTAATAATGTACTTGAGAGAAACATTAATAAAATCCAAGTTATTATGAGCTATAAGGCATTTGAATTAACACTGAAGACAAGGTATTATTATGATGATTCATTTATGAATCATTTTCTGCTTGTTTTTCAAAGTGATTTACAAACATAACAAACAAAAAACCCCAGCTAAAAATAAATTTTAAAACCGAAACAACCACTACAAAGGATAGGTTTAAAAGCAACACAAGGTGTACACCTAAGAGAGCTGCAAGAGCTTGTTGAAACAAAAATGCCATCAATTGTTTCCAGCAAGTACAAATAATGGATCCCTGATGTATGTCAACAGGGACACAGCTGAACACAACGGGCAGGCATACGGGAGGCCTTGCTCTGAGTGTTTCTGGTAGTTTGGAGACTTGAAAGTGAAACACTAATGCAAAACACAGTAACCTTTTACGGTGGTACCTCGGATTAAGTACTTAATTCGTTCTGGAGGTCCGTACTTAACCTGAAACTGTTCTTAACCCTGTAACCTGAAGCGTATGTAACCTGAGGTACCTATATAAGAAACAGGGTAGTTTCTCAAGTAATTTATCCCACCTTTCCTTCAAGGAACTCTCCCCCTCCTCATTTTATTCTCACAATACCCCCTGTGCTTTATGTCCTGCATTGAACCTTTCAATTATATAGTTGCATATTAAAAAAAGAGTTATTGAATAGTAGTAGGGGGCAGAGGAGCAGTTTTGCTATAAGGTCCTTCCCCCATCAGTATTCATTTATTTTTCCTAATCTTATTCTTAAAAAAAGAGAAGAAGCTGTGTTTATGCACATTTTTTTTTACAGTGAATCCACAAAGATGTTTTTCGTTTTCAGATTTAAACCCTCTACAGATTTTCTGAAAGGATGCCAGATCTTGAGCAAACACCTGCCAGAAATAAGAACCACAAAGGACAAATTACTGGTACTAATATTTTTCATGTTGTATTTTGAGCACCTCTCTGTTTCAGCTTAATTTAAGAACCTTCTCAGTGATAATTTTTGGTTAACGGTCGACTCAGAGAATAATAGAATTGTAAAGTTGGAAGGGTCAACTGTTCCATTCCCCTGCAATGCAGGAATCTTTTGCCTAATGTGGGGCTGAGACCCACAACCCTGAGATTAAGAGTCTCATGCTCTACTGACCGAGCTGTCCCTGGCATACTAGCGCCAGCTTTTCACTGATGTGTTATGGTTAACTTCGAATTCCCTATTTTCAAAATCTAAATTAATGAAATGCTAGTTTTGATAAATGGTGTAGGGAAGTAAAAGACCCATTTCCCCAAATAAAGCTTGTTTTATATAGTTTATTCATTTGCAGCGATCAACCATAATAAAACCTTTCCACATCTTAAACCCATTGCATTTATCATCACAAAGCAGATGTCAGGATAGAACTTGGGGGAAAAAGGTTACATCTGTGGGCATCTGAGGAGACTGAGCTTGAACCTGTGGGCTTCTAGATTTTAGCCCTCTCTGTACTACATGGTTGGCTCCCATTCATTTGGAGTGTACAGCATTGTGTATTAATGCTCTTTGCTAGATTGTATCCAGTGTTACTAACTGGGTTGTATTCAACATTAGCTATTCTCAGAGTAAGCCCATTTATATTAATGGATATGACTAGCTTCAGTTCATGAATTTCAATGGCTCTACACTTAGTTGGCCGCAACACTGCATCTCTCAAAACTCAAATCAGTCCAGTAGCTACTGAAAAGATGTTGTGCTGGTCTGCTACCATAGCAGGATTTCATAACAAGGCAAGTTTAAATATGCATAGATTTATTTATTATGTCTCAGTTATACAGTGGTGCCCCGCAAGACGAATGCCTCGCAAGACGAAAAACTCGCTAGACGAAAGGGTTTTCCGTTTTTTGTCATTCCGCAAGACGAATTTCCCTATGGGCTTGCTTCGCAAGACAAAACGTCTTGCGAGTTCTTGCGAGTTTGTTTCCTTTTTCTTAAAGCCGCTAGGCCGTTAATAGCCGCTAATAGCCGCTAAGCCGCTAATAGCTGTGCTTCGCAAGACGAAAAAACCGCAAGACGAAGAGACTCGTGGAACGGATTAATTTCGTCTTGCGAGGCACCACTGTAGATTGCTTTTTGCAGCCTGCCCAAGCAGTGGAACAGCACATTAAACTATAATAGAATTAAGATTCAACAAGGCTGGGGAGGATGCAGCCATCCAGATGTTGTTGAACTCTCCTATCAGCTCTAGCAGAGGTGCTCTGGCAAGAGCTATCATCTCATCTTGGCATCTCACAGTGCTGTTCCATGGAGGAAGTTTTTACCTAGAGCAGTAAGTTACTATATGGACTGAAATCTGAGAACTTTCTTGGTCCCCAGAGGTGAATGGGAGGCACTAATGGTTTGGCTGTGAGTTTCAAGCCAAAAACGTTGTAAAGAGTTTGGAATACCCTCATTGTTGGACTAAATCAGCTGTCGGTCTTTTTTTTTTAGAGGCACGTTTTAAGCACCATCTGCCAGGAGTGGTTCCGAATCTCAAGCAGGAAATCCTCCAGCCCTGAAATTGTGGCAGCTTACCTCCAAGAGGTTGAGGCAATTCATCCACAGTTAGAGAATATAATTGTGAACTTGGCTGACGGGAATGGCAACACAGCACTTCATTACAGTGTTTCTCATTCCAACTTTCGGATTGTGAAGCTTCTTTTAGAGACAGGTAAGAATCCCTTAATTGCTTTTTCGGAGCTGAAAATTATGTCCATTTGTTCTGCTTTCAACACTCTCCCTGAAACTGCTTTTTCAATCTCAGTTCTTACGGCCCAACTGGGTACTTGTTTTATTTTCCCTTAATTGCAGTAATCTTCTCTCTGGCTTCCCTGCATTATGCTTTGATCTTGTCCACACTCCGTAGCAAAGGGGGAGCTGGCATTGTATCCTGATTTACTGCTCTCTGTTTATTTTCCTTTGGTGTATAAAAATATTTATATACCATTATTCCTTTTAAAATATCATAATGATTGACAACGATCATACATAAAACCATAAGGTAAAGGGACCCGCGTCCCTCCATTTACATTTTTATATGGTCCATAAAACCATATAAAAATGTAAAATCAGAATTTGGTGATTACAGAAGGATAGCTTCTTAATGGCCGGCATAAGCTTGGAAGCATTCCTGAAGGAGTCTTCTGTTTGAAGGCCTGTTCAACCGAAATTGGGTTGAAAGACAGAGTGTTAGAGGAAAGGATAACAGGGCCTTGAAATTGCCCGTCAACAGTTAGCCCCTAGATAGCACACTGAGCAGGCACACAGGTCACACTATGCTGAGATGCACTGTATTTCCATTTATGTAAAGGTAAAGGGACACCTGACCATTAGGTCCAGTCGTGGCCGACTCTGGGGTTGCGGCACTCATCTCACTTTATTGGCTGAGGGAGCCAGCGTACAGCTTCTGGGTCATGTGGCCAGCGTGACTAATGGCGAACCAGAGCAGTGCATGGAAACGCCGTTTACCTTCCCACCTGAGCGATACCCATTTATCTACTTGCACTGGCGTGCTTTCGAACTGCTAGGTTTGCAGGAGCAGGGACCGAGCAACGGGAGCTCACCCCGTCGCGAGGATTCGAACCACCGACCTTCTGATTGGCAAGTCCTATGCTCTGTGGTTTAACCCACAGTGCCACCCGCGTCCCTCCATTTACGCAGTTAGATCTAAATTATGTATGCGGTAGGTATATTTACTATATAAAGGGTCAATCAGCCCTCAAATATAGATATGGCTGACTTCTGTTTATTTATTTAGGATACTTATAGATGCAACCTTCCTCAAAAAGAACTCGGGATGATGTACATTAAAAAAAATATCTAGGCAAAATGCATCCAAACATAGCTAAAAACATGAACGAACTAAAAACAACAACACCTACTATAGCAAGTAATTCAAACACAGATGCATGCATTGCTGCTAAGGAAGTAATCTTCTATTCATCAGATTGCAAAAGAGTTACAAAAGTGTTTTCAGTTGACACCTGAAACCCAAAAATTGTGGTAGAAAATTACAGACCTCTAAGGCGCGAGAGCATACCAGAGTTAGGGCTCCAACACAGGCTCTTCTACACATCCCCTCACTCAAAATTCGGGGGGGAAACTGTGAAATATTCTATGCTGTAACATTCACAGTATGCATGACTGTACTTCATAATCGAGGATTGCTACTTATAAACTGAAATGTGAAGCTAGAGTTCAGCAATAAAAACTGCATTCTAAACGGTTGGCCTGTCAGGTCAGATGTGAAAGAGTAAAATGTCCTACAAGATTTTTATCCAGTAAACATGCATGTATTTTCCAGCAAGAAGAAAGAAGCTCTTTGATTTCCTGGTTGGCATGACAACCTGTAAAATGTTAGAAGAATGGCATATTATCATATGTGTCTATAAATCAATTGTTGCACTAAGACTTCCAAGCCACCCCAGAATATTGAAACAAGGTTGTTTTGTTCTCTTGGTAGATGCCCCCGGGCAATTATATTCAAAGCTACACACTGAGTTTTAAATACTAACTCATTTCAAGTCTATGAAAGAAGGAAAATAATAGCATGCCCTGGAGTTCTAGCAATGATGCAAACCTTAAGAAAAAACTTGGTACTGTCTGCTCTGCCTGGGCGCAACTCTCCAAACAGAGGTCTTTGCCAACCCTGCTGCTTGAGATCTTTTGTTTGGAGAAGACACTGAACCTGGGACTTTATACATGCGAAGTATGTGCTCTACCATTGAACTTCTTTCTTCCAGTTTCTTTCCCATCCTTTAGTCACCTATTTCCTTTTGCACACCTACATCTTCCTTTGAAGTTAAGGCAGCCAAGGTCTAATGCCAAGGAGTTTGAGGAAAACTCTCACCATAAGCCAGACACAATAGCCTTATTCATGCATTATACTTGCCTGCTGGGCATCACCCATGGAACCAGGGGCGGGGAATGCTTTTAGCCCTGCCCTGAGGAATTCTTCCAGAAGCAACCGTGCATTGCCCTACATGTGTGTAGGGCCTCTACATGAACAGAGGACACCTGCTTGTTCTGGTGTCCTGATAATGCAGAGGTCCCACACAGGAGCAAAAGCTTGAACACTGTGGTTTCTCTTCAGACAAGTGTGGGTGGCACACATGGCTATTTGAGGAAGAGGAAGCAACATCAATGGCAGCTTGAAGGGCACAACTCCAAGTAATCATGCTAATGCCCTGCACATGAGCAATCTGTGGATAGGGCTAAACAATGTGTATTTCCCTATTTCTCCCAAGTAAGGTAGCCAGCTCCTGTTCCCATATGCCTTTCTAGCAAATCCAACCCATAGTGTACATATTTAGTACAAGGCATATTGAATAAAATATCATTCCCCATAACCAAGGTATTTCATGCCTATCCCCTTATAAACTGTCTTGGGTCATATACAGGACACCAAAGTTCTCTAGGGATGAGAGGCAAGTGTTGTTAGGAACAATTTGCACCTTCCGAGACTGGCATATGGATCTTTTCTGATGCAGTATCAGTAAAGTATTGGTGAAATTGCTTCATGAGGGGCCCAATGACCCCCCCCCCGACCAGTGTTGTCAGTGAATGTGGACTGGACCTTGTTCTGGTGTGACAATGAGCTGAATTGAGGAGCCCCTGATTGTGCCCTTTATCCCATTTGAGCTTTTGAGTCTTTTCCCTTAAACTGTCCAAACAAGTCAAAAGCTGAAGTGAGTGGAATGATCATTATTCCAGCATAACAAATTGTGCAAACGGGGTCGTGCTTACAGAAGGCATGCATGGTCCTGACTATATTCTGAGAAGCTCTAGAAAATGCAAGGAGTGTGTTCCCTTCTGTCACCGTAACTTCTCCATGTTTTGTTTCCAGAATCTTTGCCCTAACAGGAAGCTTGCGTAGCTCTGGAAAATACATCCCTCTGAATTTAAAATTCAGTGTGTTAAAGCCTAAGGAACATGAATCAGAGTCTTGATCTTCGCAGTTATCTGTACAATCTGTTGCTGATTGTCTTTTAAATAAACAGATTCGTGATAAATATTTACGTGTTTAAGGCTGCAATCCTGTACGCATTTACATGGGAGTAAATACCAGTGAAAAAAATGGGGCGTACTTCTAAGTAGACACATATAGGATTGCACTGTAAGGCACTGTCTATGACAACCTTTTGCCAGCCCGGCGTCCTCCAAGTGTTTTGGAGGACAGCTGTCATGAGCCCTAGCCAGCTAATTTCCATTCATTGTGGAGCTGATTGTAATCTGGAGGATTACGCATTGGTGAAGGCTGATCTCTGAGATACAAGTAAATTAAATAAGAATATTGCTTCACGTGCCTTGTGCTTCTTTGACTCCTGGTAGATATAGATAGATGAAAAATGTTGCCTCTTGTTTAGGTGTCTGTGATGTGGACCATCAAAACAAAGCTGGGTATACAGCAGTAATGATCACACCACTTGCATCAGCAGAAACCGATGAAGAAATGGATGTGGTCACGAAGCTCTTGAAAGAAGGCAATGTTAATATACGGGCAAGTCAGGTATGCTGAAATGTGTCACTACATTTTGTTTTGAGTTACAGACACCAAAAGGCTTTTTTTATATAAAAAAAGTGATCATGGGTATCTAGACTCATAAAACGTTAATTTAAGAATATTGTGCTGAAATGTCAGTCTTTGCTTACATGATCAAGATGCCACAATATTTGTAATATCAGATTAGCCTCAACCAGAGCCAGGGCCTTTTCAACACTGGCTCTGGCCTGGTGGAACACTCTGTCTCATGAGACCAGGGCCCTGCAGGATCTGATTTCTTTCCACAGGCCCTGTAAGACAGATTTGTTCCGCCTGGCCTTTGGCTTGGAATCAAATTGATCGCCTCCCCCTCTTCCTTTTTCCTTCTTCCTGCGTTGGAACTCCTATTTGGGGACTCCCCTGGCTTTTTTTCTGGCCCACATAGGACCAGTCTGGATAGTTGGCCTTGGTGAAGACTTGACATTTTCATTCCCAAAAAAGTTTTTGATGTGAGTTCCTACTGAAATGAGGCTGCATTTTAATGTTGTATTTTAATCTTGTTTTTAAGCTGTATTTCAATCAATTGTTTTTATACTGGTGTTAGCTGCCCTGAGCCAGGTCTTGGCTGGGGAGGGCAGGGTATAAATAAAATTTAATAATAATAATACATAAGAACATAAGAAGAGCCTGCTGGATCAGACCAGTGGCTGATGCAGTCCAGCATCCTCATCTCACGGTGGTTGAACATTTGCCTGTGGGAAACCCAGCAGGATTTGAGCACGACAGCATGTTCCCCTCCCGTGGTTTCCAGCATCTGATCAGAAGCATTGCTGCCTCCAATTGTGGAGGCGAACATAGTCATCATGGCTAGTATGCATGTATTTGATTTACACACAGTCCTTCATCATAAGATCTCAGTAGCCATTGGTATCCCCGTCCTCCATGAATTCATCTAATCCTCTTTTCCAGACCTCTGCTTACCCTCAACATCTGCTTCAGAGGGTTGGTGCTGTAAACAGGGTCTCCTGTATCAGGAGCTCTGTTGGGTAAATTATTTTGCTCATATCTACAGACCAACTAAATTTCATCAGCTTATCTTACATTGCTATCTTAGAGTAGCTACATATATTTATCTGCAGGGAGATTATGAGATTTTTTTTCTAATCTTTTTCCTTCCCATAATTCAACGAAATGGCAGCCACAACTCCGAAGCTCCGTCAGAGATTGGGCAACACAAAAAAATAGCTTTGAGAGAATGAAGAGATGGGAGTACAACATTCACTAAAGAATCGGAGTGCAGTTTTCATGTCTTCCTTATATCCTTCGCCATCTTGGACCATTTTCCTCCTTAAAGAACGGACTACAAATATTGGTGGTTTTCTTCACTGAGAGAATAAGTAGTAGTATACAAAAACTAATTTTCTCTCTCTCTTGCTTCTCATTTTTTCTAGGGAGGCCAGACTGCCTTAATTCTGGGGGTGAGCCATGATAGAGAAGATATGGTGAAAGCCTTGTTGTCATGTGGCGCTGATGTAAACCTTCAGGATGATGCTGGTTTGTCACCACTGATGGTTGCTTCTCAGTATGGTAACATCGAAATTGTGAAGCTTCTCTTGACCCATCCAAGTTGTGATGCTGCATTGATTGACAAGGTGAGAGAAATGAATGCTTGCCAAATTATAAGGACCCGCAATTTCAAACCATGTTAAAACTAAGCTTGCTGTTAAATACTATCTCAAACGGGTTTTAACATAAAATTTGGGAACCAATAATGAGGTTTTTTTCCTGAAATTGCTAGTAATCTTATAGAAATTAAGGTTTCTTCTGACAGAGCTGCTCTTGACTTGACTTTCGGATCTGTACAAAGGTCCTTGTTAAACAGTGTAGTTCCTAACCTAACTTTTGCTCACTGTCACACAGCATTATGGGTTTTTTTAGATGTAGCATGCATGCAGAGGCCAACTGTATGTGTTTCTATAAGAATACGGATCCCATGGTGCAGTACAACAGTGAGCAAAAAGTGCTTGAGAACAATGTATGTAGTGACTGTTGACTACAAAACACATGATACAACAAGACTGATGTACAGGGATACATGCTCTGGTCTGGGAATACAAATTTCAAGGTGAAATTTACTGTTCCTTAAAAGGCAAATGAGATTCCTGTCTCATTTTCCTTATAAATTGAGCAAAGGTTAACAGGCTGCTGCCTCACACACAGGCAGAGGTTTACTGAGGGAGGATCTAGTTTTGAATGATAACATTTATTATGATTGGCTGAGCTGTGCACTTGTCTACAGGTCAACCAATTAAGTTGCTATTGGGACTGGATCTCTTGGGATTTATAAGCTTGTGCCCACCTTTCCTCCTACCCCTGCCAATGGCATTCTAGTTTTTGCCACTGACTCCTAAAACCTAACCTCATGAGCTGTTGCTAGCTGCTGCTTCCTTGCAGGGCTGTGAAAGAAAATACCTCTGTCAACGATTGGCCTATTTTTAGCCAAGATACGTGTACAGTGGTGCCTCAGATTACATACGCTTCAGGTTACAGACGCTTCAGGTTACAGACTCCGCTAACCCAGAAATAGTACCTCGGGTTAAGAACTTTGCTTCAGGATAAGAACAGAAATTGTGCTCTGGCGGCAGCGGAAGGCCCCATTAGCTAAGGTGGTACCTCAGGTTAAGAACAGTTTCAGGTTAAGAATGGACCTCCAGAACAAATTAAGTTCTTAACCCGAGGTACCACTGTACTCTGTTTGCCACAACTCTTGGGCACAGAGCTGAGGATACAGCAAATTTTATCCAAACTGGATAGAGCAATTTTAGATCAATCTTAATTAAGGCGAGTAGCGATATGGCATAAACATATTATTTTCAACCTAAGGGGTGTGAGATGGGCTTAAAATGGCTCTAGGGGTTCTTTAGATTCTTCAGGACTCAAGCAGGGAGTTTCAAATTATTCTGCTTTTACCCACTATTCAATAAATACTGAACATTGAGGTCTCAGTTTTGAGAAGAGTCAATTTGCGTTAGTTTTCAGCTTGCCCTATGGATGATTTACACAGGCCAGCTTGTGGTTATACAGCAAGTTGGTTTGGTTGACCTCCCTGACCCAGTTGGTTTGTATGCCCTTTCAACAAAAGAAGTGGCCTGTTTAAGATTTATTTTGTGTGTACTGGTCTCCCTTCTACTTCCGCAACATGGCCACAGTTCTCCTGTTTTTACTACTACTTAACAGCCACTTCTTTAAATTAGTGTAGGCTTAAAAAAGAACACTTTGGTCATTTGAGGAAGTTTTTAATAAATACTAACAGCAACAGATAGGCTCTCTATTCCTGTATTTTTACAGGGCTTTCAGAACATCCATAGTCTCTGAAATTCTATGGCTTAGCAAGAATTTGAATCAAAGTCTAGGTCAATGTGAACCAGTCTGGCTTTCACTTCCTTCTGTATTTTGCGGGTGGCTGCCCTGCCATGTTAATAAAATCCAACTGGGAATTTAGGCTTTTAAATGTTTAGATCAGGGATGAAGAACCTATGTCCCTGCAGATGTTGACTGCAGTTTCCATCGACCTGAGCAAGTATGCCCAGTTGGCCATAGGCTCTTCACCCGACCAATAGATTATTAGGGAAGTGTCAGTCAAAACCTACCAAGCTGATCTCTAGGTAATTTATCCTGAGTTGATCTGATGTGGTGTGAATTCAAATCATATGAAAAGTACCCCAGGTAGACTAAATCTGCAGCAGTTTATCTCTTTCCATTGTTTAGTTTATATCACAGGAAGAAAGGTTTACTTATGCTGGCAGAAACTAGGGAAATGCTATAATTAATTGGATCCAGATGTGTCCCATCAAGCTTTGCCTCACAGTGAAACGGCTTGGTATTTAAGCAGAATTTCCAAGCCAAACAACTCTTGAAGCAGGGCTGTGACTTACAATAAGCTTTTAACTGCATGTACACGGATGCAACTGGAGACCATCAACATCGTGTTGATTCCACATGAAATTTAGTGCTAATATGCTATTATAAAGGACCTGCTCTGTTAATGAGCAATTCACTCTGCTGTACTGTTAGAAGACCTGGGGGTTTTTGTATTTGGTCTTTGTTTGTTTTCTGCAAAATGAGACTTGCCTTGTGTTCTGTCTGCCAAAAAGTGGGGTCAATAAAGTGAAATGTGATTGTTTGCAATACTTCAAATGCCTAATCCGGAAGGCTGCCATTGAAAGATGCTGATTCATAATTGCTACAAAATCTCACCCAATGGGCTGGTAGTCTTTATGTCAAAGTCTGCCATTGTTGGCATCCGTCTGTCTCAGGAGACAATGGAGTGCACCTCTAGAGGTGAAGTTAAACCACTGGAGATTCACAGCGCCTGCTGTGGCTGCAGAGAGCGATAAATCTTAATTGCTGCTTTCCACATTGTTTTTGCTGCATTAGCAGCACCAAAGTGACCTCTCTGGGTGTAAGCCTGGGCAGTGTGTAGGCCACAGCTTAGAAAAAATAATGCCCTTGCTCCTTTGGAGAAGGTGCTCTGTTGTTATAAATGTGGGTGGTGGTTTCTTTATTTATTTAACAGCATGTACAGCTTTAGACTTACCATATTTTTTTGTGTATAAGACACCCCCATGTATAAGATGTCCCCTATTTTGGGGGACTAAATTTAAAGAATATGGGGGGACATGGCCCAAAGTTGTTGAGCTTTTTTTAGGCGCCGTCACCCCAGCAGAGCCATTGCTGGGGGTTGGCAAAGTGGGCACCGGCTCCCCCCATGTCACTGCGGTAGTAAGCTCCCTAGAGCACGGGCGCCAACCAGCTGGCTGGCAGCTTCCCCTCCACGCCGTTGCGGAAAACGCGCGCTTCCCACTGATGCATTGGGGGGGGGAAGTTGCACACCCACCAACCAGATGGCTGGCAACCCGCAGCTCCCCCCCCCCATGCCACTATCCATGTATAAGACGACTCCAGTTTTTTGACATGATTTTTGAGTCAGAAAACTTCGTCTAATACACGGAAAAATACGTTAAGTCTAAACGTAGAGTGCTGGCATAATAATAATCTCCTTTTTTCTCTCTCCTTCATGTAGGCTGGTAATTCTGCTTTGTCCATAGCTTTGAAATCTGCCCACACGGAAATTGTAGAGTTCCTTCGGAGCCACATACAGCACAGTCGGCCTCTGAATACATAAAGTGATGGAATGGGAAACCGATAACAAAAGACTCATTATTTTACCCAGCTCTGTAACCAATTTATATGCCCATGATCATAGCTGATAACTGCTGATTTCTCTACTTACGGAAAGGCGGAACTATGTCAGCTATTTGCATACATTTCTAATGAATGAGTCACTCCCTTAAACCTTCTTTTATAGCCTTAACCTCTGACCAGTGGCACAAATAATGGTTAGATTATTTCTTTGCCTTTTCTTAATAGTAATTGCTTCCACAAGTCAAGTTGTCTTGTCTCTTCTTCAGCTTTGAGCTTATCTTTTTTTGTTTCTCAAAGCTTGAATAACTACAGGGAAGCAACTAGGTTGGTCCTGGGCATAGTTCTACATTTTTGAAGACCAAGGGCATAAAGGATAATGTGCTTTCAGGTATGACATCACCACCACACCAAAGCTGCCCAGGTTCAGTGAAGGTACAAGTAATACGGAGCAATTCTGAGATACTTTAAATTTATTGATAGCCTGATGCTGTGTCAGCTTGTACTAACTTCAAATATATTCTCTGTACCTTGTGAATAAGGTAACACTAGGAAGTCTTCCTTCCTGCCCAGTAAATCTTCCTCAGATTCACATATTTTTCTAAGCCTGTTGTTGCTGCACAGCCCATTGATTGCTCTGTAAGAAAGTACCAGCCTTTCCCCCTGCTGCATCAGAGCATCACATCAGGGACAACTCAGAGTGCAGTAGCACTGATGGTTGCTGTTGGGCTAAGGCTATGGTCTGGGCCTGATCCCAGTTCAAGGGCACAAATTAGTACCAATTCTTAGTACCTCAGCAGTCATTACAAGAGACACTAGTTTGGATGTGTTTGTCAAAAGGGCTTGGATCCAACCGCAGCAGAACTTGAGAGTTGAGACTCAAGAGATCCCCATTGCATGAGCAGAACTTCATCTACAGAACTTTGGATCCAACCGTGCTGTTGCCATCACACCATACTTTTCCAGGAGTGTCTCATTTTACGCAATATGTGACCTTGCATCACCACTTGCATCACCGCCCTATCTGTTTCTCCCTGTCGCCCACCACTGTGGATAGCAGATGTTCTGAGACAAAGAAGATGAAAAGCAAAGCACGACAGCATCACATATAGGGTAAAACTAGACATTAATGAGAAGAAAGGAAACTAAGACACAGAGTTAAAGTATAGTTGATAGTCGTTGGTTTGGCATTGGTACCACATCTTTGGGTTGGGCTGTGAAAACAGATATTGCTTTTCAAATGAAAGTCCAGCATATATCTCTTAAAGCACATGATGTTTCCAGTTTGTCTACAAGCACAGCAGTAAAGCAATACTTTTTTGGAGTAACTTTAGATAATGAGTATTGTTTGTAACCAGCTATCTTAACGCATGTCTCAGTTAACTTGTAAGTTGTACTGTGCTATTTATTACTATTGATTTCTGTAAGTACAGGCAGTCAACATTTACTCAGCATACAGCTACAAATATAGATTGGCTAGATTATGTACAATATATATCTTGGTTGTGTTTGGTTTCTATGGCTCTGATGCAAGAAGTCATAGCTAATTATTTACAGAAATAGTTGAATGTATTAAATCCAAACACACACACATTACTTCCTGTATATTCACAAAGCACAACCATCTTGTTTTATATCCCTTTGGAATTATCATATATATGGCTTTCTTACATTTTTTTAATTGAATTTGAATTAACCAGCCAAGAGAAAGCTTTGAAGTATATTTCTCACTGGAAGTTTGGGCACAATTAAGATACAGTGTGCATTTTCATTTTTTTACCAAGCTAAGTATGTAGAACAAAATGACTTGATCATAAACTTCCTCATGAGAATTATTATTGTTTAAGATATTTTCATAATTTGGTTCTGTAGAGCCATTTCTGATTATGGCTTCATATGGAAGGTGCCTTTTGGGCAAACATCTGTTCTCATCTGTTTCATCAGGCTAAAATGCTGGAAATCCCAAACTTGGTAGATTGAAATCTGTTGTACTAATTTATCTGCCATATTGTTTCATTTATTGAGTAACCTTCCACCCACAGGGTAGGCAGAGTTCTTCTGTGGGCTCTGGCAGCCTTCCAGAACTCACTACAATGCACACATATGAAGATCTCGCTCAAATTCCCATTGCTCAACCACAATGAATAACAAAAATACCTTCCATAATCCAGAAACAGTGCAACCAGTTCCTCATTTCCAGTGGAGCCTCCTCTTTTGAACAGCAGCGTTGTCAAAGTGATAATTTAAAGTTCATCCTCATTAACTTGCTGTAATATGCATCTGCTTAGCTTCTCTGCCTCAAAATTATCCTGCAAATGTTATGCTGAAAACTAGTTAAACTGGGGTGCGTGCATGTCAGATCACTCTTGCTTAACTATTTGGGCTGTCTCTGCTATGAGCAATGTTTTGCAATGACCCATCATTTTAAGCAAATAAATGGAACTGTAAAATAGCAGTCTTCTTTGCTGCATGATGAACTACGTTTGAAAATCAGGTGTGTTACATTAACAGTGTGGGATGAAGCATAGGGTTCTTTTCTGCAAAGAAGAAAGTCACAGAGCTCTCAGTGCATGCACACATTTCTTTAGGGCAAAGCTAAAGAAAATTTCATGATGTGGTCATAGCAAGTGCAGGAAGCACTAGGGCTTCTCTGAGGAGAAAAAGGCAGCACCGAGGAGCTTCCCTCAGCACTATTTCTTTCCCTGATCAAATTAGCTGTTTTGAATGATTAAACAAAATGCAGTGGTCCTGATCATTGATCCCTTGCGTCATGAGTAATTTGGCCCTATAACAAAGCCATTTATGGTACTCATTGGCTGGGTCCAGATATAATGGGAAATTATGGTTTCCCATTATGTGTATGTGTTGTAGCAATCACAACCTCAGCTTTGTGTGCTTGTCCCTCATCTCTCTCATACCAGAAGAGGAGCTACTTCTTAGTTTAAAGTAAACATTGTTCCCTGTGACATCCAAACCCAGAGAACTGCAAAGGCTTTTTAATACTATGTTTAGTGAAAGCAATTCGGAATTAAGCTATACTTGATTCCAAGAGTGGCTTGTTTTCAAACTATATTTTTGACAAATCCATAACCTGTATAGGTTGCCTTATTAACAGATCTGAAATTTGACAAATCATAGTTTCCCAGGTTTGAACATCACAACGAACAATGGTTAGGATAAAACTGTAAGTGGCGAATCCTCTGCCATGTGAAAGGGGAGATGGGAAAACTTGCAACCCCAAGGCTTAGCACCATTCACTCTCATCACAGGACATTACTTGCAAACCCAACCAGTATTACATATGTTGGGATTTGACATGTACCTAGCAATTCTATCTGACACTTTAAAAATGAATACTTTCACAATAGGGTCTCTATTTTTCTCTGTCATGACATAAACTCTCATGGCATGGTAGTCATAAATGCAACAAAGCTACACTTGTTCAATTCTGCATGCATGCACCTGTTAAGGCACAGCTTCTGTAAGAAAATAGGCAGAAATTTATTTTTAGCATCAATGGGATGGAGAGGGGATGCTGCAAAGTGAAATACATCACATTTGAGCAGCTTGAGTGTGGATCACACACATAACAAAGGAGCTCCCATATGCAATAAACCTTGAAAGTAATGTGGGGTTTTAAAACTGTTTTGCGTCCGGCTTTCAATGCTTTAAATGAACTGACATTATCATTTATAGTAACCTTCCAGGAAAAATAGAATGAGACTTGTGTGAACTTTGTTGTACATTACTATTAAAATTAGTCATATAACAAGTTGACAGAGCCTCTTTTTAAATCTGTGTAAGTCTGTTGTGATTGCATTGATGGGAAACTTTATAAAATGGTTAAGTAATGCCAGGTTTGATAAAAGCAGTCACGGGCTTTGAGAGGTAATCAATTAATGGTCCAGCTCTGTAGGGCTGAAACAAGCACAAAATCAATTTGAGAATCCAGCTGAGCTGTCGAAATAAACTTATATGCGGTGCATTCTGAGGTAAAAATAATGGTGACCAAAGCAGAGAGAAGAGATGCTTTTAAAAAATTAAGACTCTTATTAAACAGCCCTCATTAAAAATAAAACGGGCTTCCATTAGTCACACAACCTCTACAAAGAACTTGTAAGAAAATTAAAATGCTCTTGACAACTGAATGGACTTTTCCATCTGCACCACCCTGCCCCTTATTTACCTCTTCTTTCTTCACTTTCCTCCACACCTTCAGTCGGAAGTGATCCCACAAAAAATACTTGTTTTAGCACCAAGTATGGAGCTAATGGTTGCAGTTGATTCTGTTGCTCAGGGGCAAAAATATTTGACTCTTCACATAAGACCTCAGTTGCACAACTCCCAAATACCCACAAGAAAACAGGACTTCATGCCTTGCCCTTTTTTTAAGTGCTCAAACTGAGCATTCCTTTCATTACTGTCCTCCAGGAAAAACACAAAGAGACACACAAGTCTGTTGTAATCATTAAAGCAACAGGAGGTCATTCCACCTCACATTCCATTATCAATAGCAAGGCCTGGGCTTCTGGTAGGAGGCACATACAAACCTGGGACCCACAAAGCTGGATATAGCCTACAAACACCATATGAGGATCCAACACAGTCAAGCAAAAGAAATGAGACAGAGAGGCAGCTAAAGTGATATTCCATTTCATAATGAATAAACGAGAGAGAGAGAATCAAAGATCCTCTCAAATTCACAAATGGCAAATTTGTGAATGGGTCTACTCGGGAGTCTGATTAAAGGCATAGGGTTTTATCAAGCTTCAATTGTACTCTGAGTAGACCCACTGAAATTAGTGGGCATGACTAACTGGGATCCATTCTGAGCATAATTTTGTTGGTTAAAACCTACAATTCCTAAAACTATATAATACCATCAGATGAATGAAAAAGTATGCTATGTAAAAACAAAACAGTGTTGGAAAATGCCACGTTTGGAAAGGCTACGACTCAATGGTAGCTCACATGTTTTGAAAGCAGAAGGTGCCAGATTCAATCCCTCCCCTCTCCAGCTAAGGCCAGGAGACACTCCTGCTGGAAACCCTGGACAGATGCCACCAGTCAGCTGGATGGACCAATGGCAGCTTCACAAAAGTGAAAAATCAACATCAACCTGGTTCCAGGTTGATCAGGAGTCTATTAATTTGCACAGCATATCTGACTGTTAAATCCTGGTAGAAACTCAGTTCATTGGTCCATTTTGGCTCACCCTTATTTACTGGAAACATGAAAATAGAAAAACAACATCTATTTGTTCTGGTTATGATGGATGAATGCTGCCAATGGCTTGATTCTAATGATGTAGATGTATGAGTGGAAGTTGCTTCTGTTCATTCAAGGATAGGTCCCCAGGTTTTTTGTAATCTCCCTGCACCCTCTCCTTTGAATCCCTCCTATGCAACCTACCATGCTGTTCCAGATGCACCTGCCAGCCCTCAAGGGCAGATTTTCAGGGAGCCCAAGGTCACTGCACATAGAAGGAGGAAGCAGGAGAGCCTTGCTCCATTCAAGGAATGGAAGTTCAAGTTCTAGTAATGTCTTCCATTTTCCCTGGAATGGTAAAAAACCGGAAAGCCAAATTTGCTGTTAGTAAAAGTGACTGACAATTCAAAATACACTATCGTCCACTTCATTCAGATAAATAAATTCCTTGCTTGCAAATGAATATACGGTAATCTGTTTACAGTCCACCAACCACAAATGCCTTACTTGTGAATAGTAGCCAAATTCCTCTGTCAAAACCCACTGATAGCGAACTCCTGATGCAATTTCTCTGGAATCACTAAAGGGAAAAAAATAAATTCAGATTAAAATATCAAGAATCCATCTGATTGCATCCCTATATATGATAGCTAAATATAGTGTGATTGCCATCTCTAAATAAATATTAATTCTGCAAAGGCCTACGAACCTAAAATGTACCCACCAGGCGCAATTCTATTTTAAAAAAACCTACAGGACTGATTCCCGAAAACAAAAGCATTAAAACCTAGTCTCTCATCGAGACCCTGTGGTTATACACATGTTTAATGTAAAAAACAAGCTTCATGTTGCAATAGAAAGTTATCCATTACTGGCCCCTCTTTGAATGTGCCTGTACTTGTTAGAGTGCTAGAATTCTAAAATCATATCTTAATGTTTGCATTTCACAAGCTAAGGGACATCTAATGCAAGCTTTCAAATTTTACTTTAGTGTTCTAAAACCTGAATCTACAAGTGAATTCCGTGTTGCGCCCATGTGAAAAATGTAACATTTGCTTGTTTTCAGATATTTTCAGGAAGCAATTAGTAAAAGTATTTAAAATATACTTCTTGCCATCCTGGTTATTTATTATACTCTGAAATGCCTGTGGGCATCAAATAGAATTATAGCATTTGCATTCATATAAAATTATGCAGTCTATAATATGATGATTAACAACATCTGAATGACCTCCTTCAATTTTGCATTATGTAAGCCTAATATTGTAGCAGTTGGACAGCGTTCTCGAAGCTACAAACATGAGTCTGACCAAACTGCGGGAGGCAGTGGAAGACAGGAGTGCCTGGCGTGCTCTGGTCCATGGGGTCACGAAGAGTCGGACACGACTAAACGACTGAACAACAACAACAACAAATATTGTAGCACAATCTAATATTGTAACCAGGGCTTTTTCAGGGGCAACTCACAGGAACTCAGTTCTGGCACCTCTTAGGTGGGCGCCATTGCCATTCCAAGAGAACAAGGGAACTCTGCGGATGTCAATTGGAGATGCTAGAATTCTTTATATTGATCTTACATTTGCAGTTTTTATTTGCACTTCAGAGATACTATTTAGCCTTTTGTTGTCTAGAGAAGTGCTAACCTAAAGTATTTTTCTACACATCATTTACTTAGTTTGATTTAATGTTTGAAAAGAACTGAAAGGAACTGTCTAAAATCCCAGTTGTTGTCTTAAGACAGTGTAAACACTCAAGTTTGGCAAGTTCAGAAAGAAGGCTGTTGATTGCTAAAGAAATATAGTTTAATACTGTGCTGTATGGCAACAACAATTTAGACACTGAATGGGAAGGAGCTCATTGAAGCTTATTTATAGGCCCATCAGTCCTGTAGATTAACTTCTCTGTGCAGTGAGGAGCAGAAGTAATTTATCAGTTTTAAATGGATCTTTATGATGACTTGCTCACCACATAGGCTTCAACAGTTCAAATGGCTCAGCAACAACATTATGTACCATGGATTAATAATAGTCACACTGTCACAATTGCACATTAATTTATACATCTGTTCCATGCTACAAACATCTAAAGGGTTGTCACATGAAAAATGAAGCAAGCTTGTCTTTTCCTGTTCTGGAGAGTAGGATTCGAACCAATGGATTCAAGTTACAAGAAAGGAGGCTCCAACTAGACGTCAGGAAGAACTTTCTGACAGAGCTGTTTGATAGTGGGAGAGAGTCCCTTGGGTGGTGGTGGACTCTCCTTCCATAGAGGTTTTCAAGCAGAGGTTGGGTGGCCCTCTGTCATGGATGCTCTTAGTTGAGATTGGACCAGATGACCCTCAGAATTCTATCATTCTATGAAATCTAAATGTTACAGAATCGTAACTGTGACAGATAGCAAATACCTTGCTCCAATAACAAAACCATGTACAGAGACAAATAGGTGACTAGTTGCACAAGAATGTAGATGGTTGGTAGGTAGGCACATTTAAACAGGATGCTGACAGTGCCTTCCATTCCAAGCAATGGATATATATTATATCCACCCAGATGCACATCTGTATAGTAAGTACTGTAACAGGAACATTCAGTTCTGTTTATGTGCAGATCTCTGGCGCTGCACTGGTTGCAAAACAAGTAGTACTTGCAACAAAATGTTGCACTGTGAAGTCTTCCTGTTACGGCTTGTTAACTGGAACTTGCCCTCTTCCCAAGTACTTTGTTCCATTCCCTCCCCCCCCCCACATTGCAATTTTGCATCTCTCCCTCAGCGCACACGCACAGAGACACACACACACCCCTCTACCTCCAACAGCCAATCAGCATTTTGTGGCAACTGGGCTCCTTGGTCTGCTTTCATGAGAGGGGATGTATGCCTCCCTCAAGGTGCTTTTCTAAATACTCTTTGTACTCCTGCACAGTGCTATTTTTCCAGAAAAAAGAGGTGCTGGAACTCACCAAGAATAGCTCCCTTGTTCTCTTATAATGGCAATGGCACCCACCTGAGAGGTGCCGCAACTGAGTTCCGGCTGAAAAAACCCCTGCTCCTTCACCCAAAGCCTGTCAATACCTCCTTTTGTGGATGGGAGTGTTTATTGGAAAAAGCACAGAAAGAAGGTAATAAAATGTACCTCTCATCATCTGCAATGTTCTGGTAATTAAAATGGTTTTTTCTTAGAATTTAAAATTGATAGGTGTGTGTGTTGTTTGTACACACACACACCCCTACACAAAGATATAGTGTACTGTCTTGCGTATTTCTTTTCCATTTAGGAAGGAAAGTTATACGTATCCATTTTGATAAGGATGTGTACACCATAAATTTAAAGCATATTTACTGCCCCCCTCCTACAAAAGAATACAGTGGTACCTTGGGTTAAGAACTTAATTCGTTCTGGAGGTCCATTCTTAACCTGAAACTGCTCTTAACCTGAGGTACCACTTTAGCTAATGGGGCCTCCCGCTGCTACCACCACACAATTTCTGTTCTCAACCTGAGGTAAAGTTCTTAACCCGAGGTACTACTTCCGGGTTAGTGGAGTCTGTAACCTGAAGCGTCTGT